TCTGGTACCAGATTTGTACAATTACTTTCAATCAAACATGGATCGGGTTTTGTTAATTATGACAGAATGTAATTAAAAAGCATTATGTTGACAGCTACAAGGCACATGCTTGCCTTAAGCTGCGAGTATCCCGCCATGTTTTAAACAAAGGGCCTCTTACCAAGCCGGCATTCTAATCCGCCTCAAATATGTGAAGCACGCGTCTTTCAAAGTCGCCTAGTACTTAAAATCGGCGCTCTGGCCTGTTATGTAATGCATTGCTCAAGACCCTGCCTTCCAGGCTAGCAGAAGTAAAGGCCAAGACAGCGACAGTGGAGGCCAAGGCACTGGTCATCCAATTTGCTGCCACGCTAGCAGAGATTGAGGCCAAGACAATTGGCGGCACACTGCGATATGTGGAGGTCGAGGCACTGGTGGACAGGACGGCTGACACGCTACAAGAGAAAAGCGTGAGAATAATGGCGACATATAAAGCTATGTGAAGAGAGGTTGCAGTGGAGGGCCGAGGCACTACTCGTCACGCTCGCTCACACGCTAGCAGAAATGGAGTCCGAAAAATTTGGCGACAGAGTGGCCGATGTGGAAGGCGTCGCTTACACGATACGACGCTTAAAGGTGAACACACTTGTCGACTCAGAGATGTCACCGATTTTTTTCCCAGATTTTCGCGAAGTAAGTTCATTGATAGTCTGCCAGGTCTTTTTAGAATCGCCCGTATACTTGTTAAAACTATTTTGATAATAGGCTTGCTTGGCTAATCTGATTTCGCTATTTACCATATTGCGTTGTTTTTTTAAAAGTGACCAGTCATTTGAATCATTCGATTTACTTGCTTTAATCTTTACAATATCCCGATCATGCATTCGTTTCTTAAGCTCAGATGTAATCTATGGGGAACTATGCGGGCGAACACGCATTGTTCTCAAGGGAGCATGCTTGTTAACAATAGTTAGAAGCGAGCATTTTCATTGTAGCCACATTTCATTGGGATCAGTTGAATTGTATATGTGATCCCAACAATGAGATGCAATATAGTTCCGAAAATTTATTCTATTAAATTTTCGAAAATTTCTGTAGGTTATAGCATTGTGCCCACCAGACATTCCATTCACGGATAATTTTCGATAGGTAAAAACTATGCTATGATCGCTAATACTGATATGACGAACCCCCGAACACACAACTTTATATGGACAATTAGTATAGATTACATCAATCAAAGTTGCAGAAGTCGGAGTTACTCTGGTTGCTTCAGTGATAAGTTGCTGTAGACCATAAATATTAGTGATACTCATTAACTTGCATGTATTATTGTCATATAGAGTAGCAATCATGTCGCAGTTAAGGTCTCCCATTAGAAAATATTCAATATTTTCGGAATCGAGTTTCCTAATTAAAGTTTCGAAAGGTGAAAAAATACCAATAGGAGAATCAGGTGGTCTATACCACGTGGCAACAACAAACGGCTTAGATCGAGGTTTTTGAATTTCAAGACATAGATTTTCAAGAGTGTCCATGTTTAAATCATTTCGTATGGTAAAATTTTTTCAACTTTTCACACAGAAACACACTCCTCCTCCACCGTGTGTAATTTTATCCCGTCGAATTATATCATAGCCAGAGACGTTGACCTCATTGTCGCTAGTAGTTTCATTGAGCTTAGTTTCATTAATCGATAAAATATCTATTTCGTTATGCGCTAGAAGAATTATAATTTGATCTATGTGTGTGATTAATTTATTGATATTTAAAGAGGCTAATTTAAGACCTCGTTGAGAGGGCAACACTGAGGTAGGCTCATGAGATTCCTCAGTATTGCGTTTTGTACATTGAATAGGCACGGCATCGGTGGATCGCGCATCATTTCAACCTGAACTCATCTGAAAGTTCTTAAAAAACTGTTGATTACCTTTGAAATTAAGATGTAGTCCGCCCTTGTTAAGTTCCTTTTCGGAGATGTTTTGATGTTGGATAAATTTCGATCCATTCTGACGCCAGTAGAACTTTAACCAGTAGAACCTTTAAGGCTCTACCTCTAGTATCGTGGGAGCCAGAGCATTAACAAGTGCCTTGGCCCAGTGTGTCGCCTAGTGTATCTGTCATCACGTCTGCTTGCGTCAGTCAGCGTGTCGACCGGTGTCTTGGCCTGCATATTGCACAGTGTGTCATTAAAACTTTTGGCCTCTTGGCCTACACTTGTGCAAACGTGTGCGCCTGCGTATAGACCTGTGCCTCAGTTTCAACTTCGTTCAGTGGCTCGAGACATATGTAAGCCTGCACTCCTGCACGAGTATGAGCTTCTGTTTGAACCGGTGCCTCGGCCTCCACACAGGTTTGTGTATGCGCAATTGTCTTTTTTACCACCTCTGATAGCGTGTCAGGAGGCGTGTCGACCAGTGCTTCGACCTGCAGTGGCGCCCAGCGTTTAAACTAGTGATGCACCTTTCACATCCGTCAGTGTCTCACCAACTTTATCGGCCTTCACCTCTGGTAGCCTGTAAGCCAGTGTGTCAACCGATGCCTCAGCCTCCACATCGCGCACAGGGTCGCCAGGTGTTTCGGCCTCCACCTCTGCTTAGCTTTGGTGCATCGTGTTGATAAGTACCTCGGTCTCCACATCACCCACTGTCTCGCAAAAAGTTGCCGGTCTCAATCTCTGCTAGCGTGTCGCCCAGTGCGTAGGGCAGTGCCTCGCCCTCAGCTTCGCCCTGTGTTTTCGTAAGTGTCTTGGCTTCCATTTTTTGCTAGCGTGTCTGCCTGCGTTTTGACCACGGGCTTAGCCTCCACATCACCTAGTGTCTTATCTTGTCCAGTGTCCCGGCCTTTTCATCGGCCAGTTTGTCGCTAAGTGTCTCGGGCTTTTCCTCTGCTAGTCTGTCAGCCAGCGTGTCAGCCGATGCCTCGTGCAGCGTGTCAAGAGGTGTTTCGGTCTCTACCTCTGCTAGGCTGTGATGCATCGTTTTCACAACTGCCTCGGCCTCCACTTAACCCACTCTCCCGCAAAAAGGTTTCGAGCTCAATCTTTGCTAGCGTGTCGGCCAGTGCGTCGAGCAGTGCCTCGGCCTCCACTTCCACCTGTGTCGCTAACTGTCTTGGCCTCTATTCTTTTCTAGCGTGTCTGCCAGCGTTTTGACAACTGGCTTAGCCTGCATATCGCTTAGTGTGTCATCTTGTCCAGTGTCCCAGCCTTTACATCGGCCAGTCTGTGGCTAAGTGTCTTGGGTCTTACCTCTGCTAGCGTGTCAGCCAGAATATCGACTATTGCTTAGGCCTTCACATCGGTCACTGTCTCGCCTCGTGTCTCGGGCTCTGCTTGTGCTAGCCTTTCAGCCAGAGTATCGAGCATTGATAGGCCTCCACATTACCAAGTGTATCGCCCACTGTCTCGGGTTCCACCTCTTCTTACCGTTCCGCCAGCATGTCCACTAGTGTCTAAGCCTCCTCTTCGCCCAGTGTGTCGGTAGATGTCTTGGCCTATAATTGTCGAATCGGGTCAACCTTCTTATGGACCAATGCCTTAGCTTTCACTTCTTCAGTATCTCGCCAACAGACTCTGCCACCACCTCTGCCAGTGTCAGCTAGTGTGTCGACCGGTGCCTCGGGCCCCACAAAGCCCAGCGTGCTGCTAAGTGTCTCGGCCTCCACCTCTGCTACCATCTAAGCCAGCGTGTCGACCAGTGGCTCGGCATACACATCACCCAGTGTATGGACAAGTGTGGGGGCCTTTAACTGCGCATCCTGTAAACAATACCTTTTACATTGGGTACTGTGTCGCCCAATTTTTTGGGCTCCATTTCTGCTAGCGTGTGAGCCAACGCGTTGAGCAGTGACTCGGCCTCCACTTCGACCTCTCTTCACATAGCTCAATATGTCGGCATTATTTTCACTCTCACCATTTGTAGCGTGTCAGCCGCCATGTCCACGAGTGCCTCGGCCTCCACATCGTGCAGTGCGCCGCCAGTTGTCTTGGCCTCCATCTCTGTTAGCGTGGCAGCAGATTAGTTTACCAGTGCCTTGGCCTCCACATGGTCTAGTGTGTCGCTAACTGTCTTGGCCTTTACTTCTTCTAGAATGTCAGCCAGCGTCTCGACCAATGCCTTACGCTACACTTTTCTCCGGGTGTCGCAGCAAGTATCTTTCCCTTTTTCCATGCTAGCATGTAAGCAAGCACGTCGACCAGAGCCAAGGCTTTCACATCACATAGTGTGTCTGCAGGTTTCTCAACCTCCACCTTAGCCAGTGTGTGAGCCAGCGTGTCCAATAGTGCCTCGGAATTCACGTGACCAAGTGGGTAGGCAAGTGTCTTGGCCTTTATCTCTGATAGCTTGTCAGCCAGTGTCTCAACCAGTGCCTTAGCGTCCAACTGTGCCACTGTCACCAAGTGTGTCGGCCTTCACTTATGCTGGCGTGACAACCACCGTGTCGACCAGTGCCTCAACCTCCATCTAAGCTAACATGTAAGCCAGCGTGTCGAGCAGTACCTTGGTTTTTACTTCGCCCTGTGTGATACCAATTGTTTCGGCCTTCATCTTTTGCTAGTGTACCATGCAGCGCCTCGACCAGTGTCTCGGCCTTTATATCACTCAATGTCTTGTACAGTGTTTCAGCCTCGCCCTCTGCTACCGTCTCAGCCAGAGCATGAAGTAGTTCCTCGGCCTTCTCATTGGCCATTTTGTCGCCTAGTGTCTCGGCGGAACATTCGCCAGGGTCACATCACTTATTAGAGAGCGAACATTCGTCATTATGAGCGGGCACGTAAGAGGTACAACACTCGTTAGGGTCACAAAACTCCTCAAAGTGACAACAGTCATCGGAGTCACATTATTCCTAAGGATCACAACACTTGTCAAGGTCATATCAGCCGTTACAGTCACAACAGCGGTCAGCGGTCAGGCATGATGGCGGACATGTCAAATGATGTCTTCAAATTTTGTTGAATTTTTCCTGATTTTTTGTCGAATTTTGTCTTTTTGTTTGTTCTCGTTTTTGTTCCATATGAAATGCCGGCGCTTACATCAGAGAAGGTAGAAGAGTTCCTTGATGGAAAACTGCGCCTAATTAGTGACCTCACTGAGCAGCTTAAACAGGCCCTGGAGTCCATCTCCTCGTTAAATACTGAATATGATACCATCCTAGTGACCTTGTTGCAGCTTGGGAAGGACAAAACCGCCCTTGTGGGAGAAAATGCGAGCCTTAAAACTCAGGTATTGGGTATTACCAATAATTTAAAGCAAGCTAAAAAGTCTCTTAATGACTTAGACCAGTATACCAGAAGAGACTGCACTGAAATTCGTGGCATCCCTCTTCCTGAGGAACCCTCGGAGGAAGACACTAATGACATTGTAATTCAGCTAAGCGAGAAAATCAGTGTTCCAATGGAAACAAACGATATCTCAATTAGCCATCGAATCCCAAGTGCAAAACACTCGATGGAACCTGCTATTATTGTCAAGTTTGTGGGGCATAAGGTGAGAGAAAATTCTTATCTCGCAAGGAAGAGGCTGAAGTCTGTCTCTACGGCTGATCTTGGATTCTCTGAGGCTAAGAAGATCTACATCAATGAAAGTCTAACGCAGAAGAACAAGGAACTGTTTAACAACTGCTTGAAATTCAAGAAAGATCACAGTTACAAGTTCCTGTGGACTAATGCTGGAACGATTTTTCTTAGAAGAGATGCTAACTCCCCAGTGATACCTGTCTATTCTTCTGTGGATATTCCTCCTTCTTAAGAGATAAGTGCAAACGAAACCCGCCTGAATCATGATAGGTGTTCTTGTGGAGTCTCTTCCCACGATAACTCTAGTTATCCATCCAGCCATTCCTTATTTCCTCGGCTGGATGTAACTCCTTCCATTAACAAGATCAGTCATCTCACTAATGTAGTTATTGACCTCCATATGCCCTCTGACACAAATTCTGATTATTTTACCGCACGTGACTCCCATTCGAATCAAGATATTATAAATTGTTTGTCTAGTAATTCACTTTCCTTTTTAAACTGCAATATGAGAAGCTTGCAGGCCAGTTTTGATAACCTGGTTAATATGCTATCAGAATTGTACTTTCCTGTATCTGTAACAGGAGTGACTGAGACAAAGCTAAAGAATGACCGAGAAATTATGCTAAATATTAACATCACAGCTTACAGTTTCTTGTCCCAACCAAGCTATACCAATGCAGGAGATGTTGGCTTCTACATAAAGAATAATCTTGGATACATTCATAGGTCGGATCTCTCAGCCCAAAGTCAAAATGGTTATGAATCACTATGGATCGAAATTCAAAATGATACAGGGCACAACACCATTTGTGGGGTTTTCTATAGGCACCCTCATGGTAGTTTGGATAACTTCCTAAATTACCTTAACATGATAGTTGATAAGATTCATCGTGAAAAGAAATACTGTGTTTTGTAATTTTTCGCAACTTCCCTTGTCTACTAGCTTGATAAATGTTTACTGTATAAGATATTATATAAGATTATATAAGATTTACTATATAAGATTTTTTGCTTGTTTTGTGGCTAGGGATTTGTGTAGAAGTAGATGTAGACAGAATTACTATCCTCCCCCCCCTCCCGATTTTTTTTCCCTACCCACAATTCTTTCTTTAACACAAGTGACAGTTATTTGAAATCAGCGCGCGCCTAAAGCTGGTTTCGGTGCCGTTTAGCAGTTTAGTTTTATATATTGGTCACCCTGAGAAAAGTTTCCCGGTTAGCATCATGTAAAGCTCTGAGATGGGACAAAGTTATTACGATTCGCTGAGTCTACATCGTCCAATATCGTATTATATTCTCGTTTCATTTGGCTGAACGGATCAATCACTCTGATCCGGGCTGAGACAGAAAGGTACGATATTGTTCGCTTTTCTAAGGTGACCACTAAGTCTTTGGCCTCGGGAACAGGCTCTTAAGAGTCAAATGAATTAGGTGAGAGGAGAATTGCCGGTGAACTCCGACCCGGGCCAAGACTGGGCTGAGTTTTTCCGAGTTATTCGATGATATTTCGCTTATGTTAAACGTGAGAAGATTATCATGATTATGCGTGGTTGTGGATAGTCTTATCAGTGTTGCGAAAGTGTGTGATTGTGTGATTTTCGCATGGTGTTGACAGGTATGTGATCGCGTGGTTGAACTACGGTTTTGCCAAAATATTCTGTGCCAGCGATTAATATTGTTTCGTCGGTGTTTAGCTTACTTCATTGTACCTTGAAAAAGCAACTCTCCACTCAGCAAAATTGGATCAAGGTCTAGTTTCAGCGGGCTCTAATGGCATTGCACCATAGGCCGGTTTTTGTAGATAAGAAGGTGATAATTTGTGCACTATGTTTCATTCAGTTTGTTGTCTATTCGATGCGGAATCCTGTTGTTTATCGGATCGCGAAAAAGGTCGCCTTTTGCTAACTATTTAAGTTGTTATGTAAGCCTTACTCAGGCACTCTTTCGGTGCAGTTCACTCAACTTAAAAATTTCTAGACTGAAATGACAACGGTTTGAGACTTCGCGAAGTCAGTTTACTGAATAAATGTTCTGAAATTTGCGTCATTTTAAATTTGGACTCGTTGGAATGCTTCTAGGGACCACTATCTTACTGCCCGGCGTCAAATAAACGCTTTTAATCGGCCTTTGAATGAGTTTTGTTGTTTTAAATTGCCAAGTAGTAGAATGAGTTGATATTTTTGCTAACCCGGTTTTCAAAAATCCAGGTATAAGTATATTGTTTGATTTAAATTATAAATTGTTTGACGGGAGCTTTGCTTTTAGCCCTGGCTAAATCAAAGGTCTGGAATAAGGCGTTTAAAACTACGATTACCTCCAAAGGACCCACTCGCGAATATGAAACACAAGCTTAAAGCAGAAAGATCCTGATAGCAGCTGCACTGAAAAGGGCTCTTAAACATTTACTATTTTTAATTATATAGTTACTAATAAACCGTTCTTTTTTTAAACGAGCATGCTTTAGCACAGCGAGACTCTAAAAATGCAGGGGTTTCCCTTTTGTTTGGTGTGTGGGACCTAGTTTGTAGGCCACGCGTTCCTAGCGGAGATCGTGGAAACTTGGGATAAGAATCGTGACGACTTTCCTCGTATGCAAATGAGTCTCGGATGAGCATGCGGTTTATTCTCGGCGATGACGGAAATGACGCATGTAAGTTTGGCAATGATGTAATTTTTCCCGAATCGAGGCCCTTTATTTTTGTGTAATTATGCACGATATGCACGCGTATTAAAAAGTAAATACCCCTTAGGATGAGAAAATATTATAGCGGGGAAATCCTGTTTTATGGTGTATTAAGGTGTTACCGTTTCTCAGAATATTGTCGCGATTACTGGAACCGTACGGTTAAATAGATGCACTTAGTTGTATGTATTTAATGGATAGATTTTCGCAGTTGTTAAGATGTGAAGTCGTGTTGCACTTAATAAATACGTAAGATATCAAGTATTTACTACTGGAAGCAACTTCAACTATTTGTCTAAGGGTTGATTTCCACTACCGCGTAATTTTTACGTACGTAAATTTACGTTCGCAAATAAAATAGAGGCAATGTATGAAAGGTCGCACGTGAGCGTAAAAGTAGAAACTCGCTCAACCTCACGTGTTATGTCAACACTTTATATCTTGCCTCTATTTTGTTTACGTGATTAAAATTTAAGTGCGTTAATGTGCGGAGTCAAAAACGCGTTAATGGAAATCTACCCTAACGTTACGTACGTGTCACGGATGTGTTTATACGGGTAACTTTGTACTTGACTATCACGCACTCTACTTGCAGCCCCACTTGCAGCACATAGAAATCCCACATCGAGCTTTTCTGGAACGGGTTGGTCCACGACTTCTATCACTTGAAAGCACTGATTACTTTGGAACAAGTGATTACTTCAGTGGTCGCAAAAAAGAATAATCTTAATGAGTAAAACTTCGAGGTTTACTGGGAAATCAGGATCGAGGATCGGTGATGGAGAATCGGGAATCGCGGATCGGTTAAAAAAAACTTGAAATGAAATAAAGAAATAAATCGTGGTGATGTGGGCCACAGACTGTAGATAAATTTCACAGAACATAACCCCGTTCGCTCTACTAAACACTAAATTTAAGTAAGCTACTCCGAGGTCTGACTGAGTCAGGACTGAGTCAGTGATTTTGTTGACTTGAAAGTGACATTTTCCTGGGAAATGAATCGCTTTATCCCAGTGATACTGTGATAAAATGCATGCTGTGTACAGCCTTAAACATTGTACTCCTAGACTGTACGGAGATATTAAAAGTAGATGTTAAGCAGCGATGGAGAATGTATTTACTTTCACGCAATTTTGATACCTTATAAAACGCGCAACAACTTAAGCAGGAATATGCACGAACTGAATGAACTGTCTGTTGTATAAGGTTCTGCTAAACTTACAATTTTTCCTGTGCTAAACATATACTGTACCGAGCCGTAACTTGGTGCGCTACAAAGGAGCTATATATATTTATCCTGACAGGGTCATGGGCTCCTGATACTGATAAGAATCATCGTTCAATTTTTTACTGTAAAATCCCCGAAAGACTTCTCACTGGAGCAATATCAATATGTAGACAATTTTCCTGTGCTAAACATATACTGTACCGAGCCGTAACTTGGTGCGCTACAAAGGTGCTATATATATTTATCCTGACAGAGTGAGTCATGGGCTCCTGATACTGATAAGAATCATCGTTCAATTTTTTTGAGTGTAAAATCCCCGAAAGAGTTCTCACTGGAGCAATATCAATATGTAGAGGGTTTTTAAAGGTTTCACACCGGTTTGAAGCTAAGATGAGCGGCCTGTCTCTTCTTGCAACTTTTACGTTTTGAGTATTTACAGTATGACATATAACACTCGTTTTGTATTCCAAACGAAAAAGTAGTGTAAAAGCACCGGCGCCTTTGACAACAAAACTTATCTTCAAGCAAGCGAGACTCAACGCTACTTAAAGAGTTCTTGTTATTACAGGCCAGAGGCGTGTACAGTACCGCAAGTGATCCCCAACCGCAAATGATCCCGAGACCGCAAATGATTCCCAAAATGGACCGCAAATGATCCTCGACCGCAAGTTATCCCCAAAGTTGACCGCAAATGATCCCGAAATAAAAATAGGAATGGCTTAGACTCGAGTTAGCGGATCATCGTCTCTATTTTATTATTATTACAAAAAGTAAGATTAAACGCTAAATTTCAGTTCTAAAATAAATACATGAATAAAAACTAAATGAAAAAATCATTCAAGTGTAAAAACGAAGTCGGTAGGCAACACACGACTTGTACCTCATGCCAAAATGCTGCTTGTTCCAATGAATTTTCTCTCTGGCGGGTAGATTATACCTCTGAAGGAAAACGTTTTGTCTGAGCAAATGTGATTTTTGCCGCTTATTTCATACTGAGAGGTCATGACACGCATTTTCGGCAGTTATTGTTGTTTCTGGTCGGCATGATTTGTCCTTTAATGCAAGCATTTCCTTTGACCTCTTTTCAAATGCAATGCTTTTCATTGCGGCTAAATAAGGGTTTTAGGTTGTTTAATTTTCTTTAAGTGCCTCATGGATCCAAATAATTATAAGCGACTTTTTTTTAGTCCGTGAATGTGACGGTTCCTACGATGTTTTGTCACTCGATAACTACCGCTTGCCTCGCTTTTGCGTTTCTCATTACCAGGTTTAGATTCTTGGTAACTGTCTCCAGCAAAGACACAACAAATGGACGTTAAAATAATAGAGTTTTTTCTGCTGAACGTCCTGCCTGTCTTAAATTTTCAGCGACGAAACAGTTCTTTAAAGAAAATTGCAGCAATTGACAATGGAAGAAGTATACGGTTGATACCATATCCTTTTCAGATTTATTCTACTTTTTTTTGGCCTTGTATAAATTGACCTGAGACGAAGCGTCCTCCTTCCCTTTTTCTTTAGAAGGCGCGAGAAAAAAGTTCCTTTTTTAATTATCAGTCCTTTTTTGTAATTTGTCCCATAAAATCCATTCCATTCCTCAAGTTTTCACGGGATCATTTGCGGTCAACTTTGGGGATCACTTGCGGTCGAGGATCATTTGCAGTCCATTTTGGGGATCATTTGCGGTCTCGGGATCATTTGCGGTTGGGGATCATTTGCGGTACTGTACAGGCGTTAGGCCGTTATTTTAAGATCCAGATCTTTTAACAGCTGGATTATTTCAAGTACACAAATTCTTTTCTCCTCCTTTCTGTGTGCTTACTACACAAAGAGAGGGTCTGTTTATTTTGCGCCGCGAACAATAAGAAGAGAGAAGACGACTTGTCGTTTAATAGACGTGCAGTAAAAAGGATAATTATAAGATAGACATAGACCATTGACAATTTTTAAAGTTGTACAAAAGACGTGATATTCTGCTTCGAGTGACTGCAGATCCGTTAGCACAGGAGTGTAATGATCTGTTTTCCGAATTCCTGTACATTATAACACGTGTAACGAGGAGTCATTTCAAAAGTAGGTTGAGTTTGATCGTCCGGGTGAACGTAGTCCTGAATAGGACTGTTGTTGTTGACAGTGACTGACGTTTCGACAACCTGTGCGGTAGTCATTTTCAGAGTCAAAGTGAGTTGTATCACGTCAGTTGATGGTGATACCATCAACTGAGGTTAATGGTGATACCATCAGGTTGTCGAAACGTCAGTCACTGTCAACAACAACAACAGTCCTATTCAGGACTACCTTCACCCGGACGATCAAACTCAACCTACTTTTGAGATGCTTACTATGTTAACAATGAAATGATGCAAAGGTTGGACCATGTCACCTTACAAAGAGATAAAGTTAAAGCAGAATGTTTATTCAACAACACGCTATGGAGCGTACACTTCGGAGTCGTGGAATTAATTGTAAATGCGGAGGAATAGTAAGGTTTCAATTTATCAAATTATGGGATTTGTCAAGATATTCGGAAAAGGGCAACATCCAAGAGGCCTACTTGCTAAAAACTAGAATTTTGGGGCAATTTGTCTCCGAGATATTAGCCCATTTATGCTCTGATGACTCCATACAAATCCTTCTAAATTTGACTTGGTTCAAACCTTTAGACCCAAGTCAAATATACGTTTACTGGCGGTGAGTAACAAATCGAACAAAACAAACAGTAAAAAAGAATTTTCTATTTTTTTACACCAGGCTTCAAAAACAGCATAACAGTCTCACGTACTGATTAAAGGTATGTATGGCTAAAACTCAATGTTACCAGTTCTAAATAAATGTTTTGAGGATAAAGTGGCTGCGGCCGCACTTGGCAAGTTAAACGGGTTAGTTTTTAAAAAACCAGGTAAAAAATTCTTCAGAACATAACCCGGTTAAAAGAGTTTAACCGGATTAATTTTTATAACCTGCCGGACTCAATTTAGACTTTCACCAAGCGGTGTTTAGACAATGGCAAAATTTGCAATAAATTCACACTGTAGTTATAAGAAAAATTTAGCCAGAAAGTCACTTTGTATTATTTTTAAAGAAAAATTTAGCCATTAATTAACGGCTAAATTTTCCCTCTTTATTAAAGAAAAATTTAGCCATTAATTAACGGCTAAATTTTCATTAACTATTTATAACTAAAATTTTCACTCTCATTTATACAAACGAAAAATTTAGCCATTAATTAACGGCTAAATTTTCATTAACATATATACAAACGAAAAATTTAGCCATAAATTAACGGATAAATAATTCCTATATATATGTATGAAGACAGGTAAACTTAGCCGTTATTTAACGGCTAAATATTTCCGATCTATATAAAAAAAACAGCTAAACTTAGCCGTTAAATAACGGCTAACTTTTTCCCACTATATTAGTATCATGCATTTTTAGCCATTAATTAACGGCTAAATATCTCAACCTATATAAGTGGCATACCTTTTTAGCCGTTAATTAACGGCTAAATATTTCTAATATATATAGAAAAAAAGCTAAACTTAGCCGTTAAATAACGGCTAACTATTTCCCACTATATTAGTATCATGCATTTTTAGCCATTAATTAACGGCTAAATATCTCAAACTATATAAGTGGCATACCAATTTAGCCATTAATTAACGGCTAAATATTTCAAATTAAATAAGTAGCATACCTTTTTAGCCGTTAATTAACGGCTAAATATTTCCCATACTATAAGTGTCGTACCTTTTTAGCCGTTAATTAACGGCTAAATATTTCCCACTATATTAGTATCATGCATTTTTAGCCATTAATTAACGGCTAAATATCTCAAACTATATAAGTGGCATACCAATTTAGCCATTAATTAACGGCTAAATATTTCCCATACTATAAGTGTCGTACCTTTTTAGCCGTTAATTAACGGCTAAATATTTCCCATACTATAAGTGTCCTACCTTTTTAGCCGTTAATTAACGGCTAAATATTTCCTATAAATATAAAGATATAGCTAAACTTAGCCATTATTTAACGGCTAACTATTTCCCACTATATGTTTCCTGCATTTTTAGCCGTTAATTAACGGCTAAATATTTCCGATGTAAGGATATAGCTAATCTTAGCCGTTATTTCACGGCTAAATATTTCCCATTATATAAGTGTCATACCTTTTTAGCCGTTATTTACCTTGTTTTCTTTAAGTCACTTGCGTTCTAAACCGGCCGCTATAAAGAAAATTACTCCGGTTACTGTTTTGAACAGGTAAAGATTTTGAGCATTTTAAGAACAACGCTTCGGTTTATTCACTTCCCGAGGTGCGGCCGCAACCAATGGAAATTTACCATAAAATGTCTCTGAAAGGCTGTCATGGCAATACAGATTCTAGCCATGATAAAAAGACGGTTGCAAAATATAGTCACGTGGCGGAAATGTGTCTGTTGCGATAGACACAGAAGTGCTAATGGTCCTGTTATCAGTTCCCGATATCAATAGCCCACGAAAAGTTCAAGTAAAATTATAGATATTAAAGAAGTTAGAGTTTCTTGTTCCGCAAAAAAATGTCGACACCATTACATTTATGAGCATATTTTGTTACAAAAAAGAAATAAAAAGGCATGCACAAAAGTAAACCGAAATAGGAGAAAATAATGTTGAAACATGAAGTGGATGGACAATGCCATGGATTAAACCAAAAATCCTATAAAATCCTCAATCATCTGATTCCTAAGATAGTATCACAGTTAGAAGACTGCTAACTGCAAAACAGCCAGCTCGTTGCTAACTAACGGTTTAGTCTACTTAAACGCTGCTTGAGTTAATGTAATATTAAGGTAAATCTATCACTCAGTAAACACAAACAAACGAAGCTCCAAGTATACGTCGAGTCAGTTTGTCAGTAAATAAAGCCCAACCAATGCGAAATAGAATATGTTAATATAAAATCGTAATGAGAAGTTTTAAGTTACTCAATAAATACTGCAAATGGAGCATAAACAGATCAGAAAAAAAAAAATTCTTACCTCTACTGAAGAAAAGTCACGATGCTAGTGTTCCTTGCCACCTTGGTTCGAAAAGGTGCAGTTGCCGATAGTCTAGACATGGAAGTTCCTGCGACTCCTGGGGTGGGGGAACCCTAGGGAAAATCAACGCCTGATCTCGAAAATCTTGACACGTACTGTAGATTTTTACCTCTACTCTTATTACAATTTGCGGCATAGTGAGACTTGTTATCCACAGTTTTCTTCTCGCTGTTTGCAAGATTAATCTAATCTTTCACAATGGCATTCATTCCGTCCAAAAGTTATGCGGAGGTTGTTATTGGTACGTCTTCCTTTGTGCAGTGTTCCTGGAGTCATTTACAGACACAAGAAGAAGAGGAGGCTTTGCGGCTAGCAATCAAAAATTCCATTGGAGAAAAGGTAATATGCAGATTTCTCTGTTTGCAAATAGTGCCGTTTGTATTTTTTTCAACTACGTTTTTTTAACTACGTGTTCCTTTCATTAGAGTACAGAGGAGGACTTAACTATAACTGCCGAGGAAACATCTGAAACTTTCGTCAAAAGCCGTAAAAAGGTAGGTTATAATTAACTGGTGCTTTTGCATGTCAGTTATTTGGTATGCGATTCGATGTTCTCCACCTTAAGCGTTTTAATCTCCATCTTATTGGTTTTTTTTGCCATGATAGCAAAGTAATATTTCGACTTGCACAATTTTGCTATAACTCTAAATTTTTATTTTGACTACTGAGAATTAATATGCGCGTTGTGTGGTCCCGTGTCAGATGATTGATGCTTCTATAAATTCGATGAATAATAATTTCAAGCCCGCAGAATTCACGATTGATCCAACACTTTCTTTCTGCATTCGAGAAAGTAATCCTCGTCACGACGATTTGTTTACGCACGTTCATTTATTAATGGCCTTTGATCTTCTTGGGGCGAGGTCTATAGCCCTATGGCCTATGATATGTGGACGAGAAGAGGTGGGGCCAGGCTCCCTTCACTTTCAAGCTTAACAACCTACTCTTTGTAAAGCTCTGCCGCTAAGCGTTTCTTATATCATAGCGCTAAAAAACGAATTTGAAAACTCGTTTGTGTTATCTAGTAATACAACAGCGAATTTTTCAATATCAAAACCAGTTAAAGCGTTGGGGGCACCTGTCATATACGTCTTCACCTTGCACGTTGAATAAGGACAATGAGCGTAATAAATAACAGCGAGATAAAAAGCAAAAACGTCTCTTTCATCATCTAGATCCCGAGCATCTTGCTTCCTTGATATTACGCGCCAAAAATTCAATTGCGCGTGAAAACCTTAAGCCGGTATCAGTAGTGCAGTGTAACCTTCCCAGGCGCGAATGCACACCGGTTTCCGTCGTTTTTAATACGTAAATCTGTTGGATTCGTCATAATAAATTAATTCAGCCGATATGCAAGGGTTCAACCTGGAATGGCCAATGACTTGCTGAATGACTTAGAACTCCAAATATTTCCTCTGCGGCGCATGTCCGGAACCCCTCTATGAGCTTGCGCCTTGGGTGCTCGTTTAGGAAATTCGTCACAATTTCGCCTTTATCCGCACCAGCATCCTCGAATTTTTTACCTTGGTAAAACTTTACGCGAGAAGAATTTTTCTTGGGAGATTTTTGGTGAATGTGCCGTTGGCAAATCGGTTTTACCTAGGTACCAGTCTTTAGTGTGGCTCGGGGGTACTTTAGGAATTTCTGGGTGGGGATGTGCCGCTGGGACCCTGGGACCCTGGAACCCTTAACCCATACCAGAGCTAGTTCAGCTGAATTTTGCTACCCTATACTAGAGTAAACTCCCCAAATTCCCCCCCTATCCTAGAGTAGCTGTTTCCCTTGTCTACATAAAATCTTCAACCAACTGATCAGTTTCCTGAAAAATGATACCCTATTCTAGATCCAAACGCTCTGATTTATATACCCTATCCTATAGTAAACTGCTTGAAAACCATACACTTCACAGCGGCACATACCAATATAGCCCATATATGGCAGTACCCCCGGGTGTGGCTACATCTATTATGACCACTTTTCTTGGCTATGTATTTTCGTAAAAAAATCGTCGTTAATGCCACCAGTCTTTAATACGACTAACGGCCACATTTTAAAATCCCAAACAGCCGAATCGTTATAACTTCTCCCCTAATTTTACTACTTCTTTCGAAATTTAGATGATTTAAGTGCACGTGGTATGTAAGTTTCTTTGACTATATATTTGACTTTATATCTGATGGACTAAAATAAACCGATAGTATTTAATTTCAATTGCTGTCGTGGGATATCCGCAATCCGGTTACTTATCAAAGATAACAATTGAAGAAGTGCGAATACGGAGTATTATAGCCCTAAATTACTCCATGAGGGTAGTACATGTACTGGGGTCAGTGTTTTGTCAATATCATTTAAATGTTGGTTCATCAACTCTACCTCTCCTCCATGTGAATGTACCTTGACATTTAGCAGATTTGGAGCTAACATTTTTACCCTTCCTCTGCAGGCAAAGAGCAAGAGGCCTCCCACTTTTGAATTATGGGGAGAGGAAGATTACAACCCAGGTTATCCTTGTCTTCCAGTTGCAGGGTATCCATACTGCGAGGTTTGTGTACAAAGAATTAATTTGTATATCATGACGTGGATAAGTACACAAGAAATTAGTCTTTGCCAAACAAGTGTATTTACCTGAACAATGTAAATGATAACAATCCTGACTCGTCTCAGTCGTCTCTCATTATTAGTATTTGGCGGGCTGTCATTCCCATCTTCCCCGCGCGCATGACCGCAAACCCTCGTATATAATTAATGAGTATAGACAACTTGCCAACGACTGGGGTCGAGTCAGATAACGACCACTTTCATAATTGTTTTCGTGAATCAGAGAAAGACCTTTTTGTTTCAATGTCAGGAAAAGGAAATGGGGCGCGCGAATCAAGGATTCTATTCGCAGTTGCTTAGATACAATTAGCCAGTGAATCTGAGTGAAGAGAGATGGCTGTATCGACATCCTGTCTTTCCTCCATTATGCGCTTCTTAGTTTTAAGTCAGCCTTTCTTTATTGTCATGTACATCTATTTTTTTGTAGTATTCAACAGTTCATAGGAGAGAGACAATCACCCTGTCAAAAAAAAGCAAAGAAAAGGTGCATTCTAGACCATCGAAGATTCCTCTTGGCCATTCCACTGGCCAGTGCCATTCGAGTGTGGGCAAAGGAAAAGGTACGCACCAGATAATATTAAATTTTCCTGTTTTTATGCTACTATTTCATTCTAAAGTTAAGAAATGTTAAACGTGCAGCGTGCAACCATAGCTCAATGGTTTCACAGCTTCAACTTTTACCATTTCTTTTATAACGTAATGAAAAGGGAAAACATTTCCATTTGCCTTCGGGTTGAGTCATCGTTACAGTATGTGAGTTGATGATTGCTGTCCAAACGACAACTCAGCTTCCATTTATTCCATTTATTATCTGTACATTTAAACGGTGCACTTTTGCCGACCTCAAGTTTAAGATTTTTCCGTGCTAGCTCAGTTTCTTGGCTTGCAACAACGGGCGAATGGTAGATGGGTAACTGACCAATCAGAGGACGCGCTTTGCTTTACTTTTGTTATGTTTTAATTCTTGTTCATTGATTTGTAAATAATAACGTTCGAGATAGTTTTCATTTATAAGAAACATCACTCTCATACTGAGGGGGATATTTTCTATTGTTTTGTGTGTTTTTATTTATTTGTTTACCCATGCCTGCGCAAACTATCCTCGACTCGCTAACTCTCCTTTTACTAAAAAACGAGACGTGAAAAAAGCCAGTAATTTTTACTTATTAAACTGCGCATTCCGACTAGTACAACGTTGTTGCTGGTATCACAAAACAGTAGAGAGGAACATACAAGGTAATGCTCAACAACTCTCCTGCTGGAATCACAAACAGCAGAGAGGAACATAGAACTGAAGGTAATGCTCAACAACTCTCCTGCTGGAATCACAAACAGCACAGCAGAGAGGAACATAGAAGCTAATGTGCAACAACTCTCCTGCTGGAATCATACACAGCAGAGAGGAACATAGAAGGTAATGCTCAACAACTCTCCTGCCGGAATCAAAAACAGTAGAGAGGAACATAGAAGCTAATGTACAAAAACTCTCCTGCTGGAATCACATAGCAGTAGAGAGGAACATAAAAGGTTGATGCACATAGAAGGTAATGCATATGGTAATGGCACATAGGAGTTAATGGACAACTCTCCTGTTCAAATCATAAGGCGGTGGAGAGGAACAAAGAAGATAATGCGTAACTCTCCTGTTGAAAGTACAATCCAGTCGAGAGGAACATAGAAGGTAATGCACAACTCGCCTGTTGAAAGCCCAAGTCTGCACAGCCTTCATCCAGGAAACACAGAGAAGCCGAGGGTCAATCGCACGGCTATTCGAAGCGTGTCTCGAAGCGCGTGCCTCTAGTTCCTTTTTTAAGACATTAATAGATACCATTAATCATTTTAGATTTTCATCTCAAAAGATGACAATAACTCCATTTACCTTGAATCAATATTTTCAAGTTATTAATCTTTTTTTCTTATAATTATAGGGGGGTATCGTGCTGGGAAGACTAACTTACAAGAGGAATGTTACCCGCTTAGAATTGTCGCGGGGGGCGAAAATGTATCTTTAGACCCTGAAAAAATAGAATTAAGTAAAGAGCTTATTGGAAGTGGTGCAACCTCACGCGTTTTCAGGGGAAAGTTTCATCATTCTGAGGGTGCATTCACGGAAATTGCATGCAAAGAGTACATGACGACCATTACGCCGAAACATAAAAGAAAGCTTTTCAAGGAGATTGAATGCTTAAAAAAGCTACGACATCCGAATATTGTCTCCCATTTCGGAGTCGATTTTACTCGATCACTTGTAATCACTGAGTTGCTTGAGAAAAAGATGACAATTGATGGAGAAGTAGAAACAATACACAATGCTAGAGAATTACTCGACCTTCATGAAATGCAACCTTTGCCATGGATCCTGCGCCTTAAAATTCTAAAGGAAGTTTGCTGTGGCCTTGATTTTCTTCACAACAATGGCATTATCCACTGTGATCTCAAGGCCGGAAATATCTTTATCGGTGAAAATGGGAACGGAGGCTACGTGGCAAAACTTGGCGACTTTGGAACTGCTCGTTTCGATTTCGAACAATTTTCGGTTTCAGTCTTGCCATCCACAGCAGATGATCAATCATTAATGTGTACTGCTGCATACACGGCTCCAGAACTTCTCGCGAGGGGCTCAAAACCATCTCGCAAAAGTGATATATATAGCCTAGGGATGATTATGGCAGAGTTTAGTTTGCCTAACCGCTCTACACCCTGGGAGGGAGAAGTAATCAATTCCTCAATGATTTATGATTTTGTAAGCAAAGGGGAAAGACCGACCATAACCGAAGAAGATCTGTTAGGACTAGACAGCAATGTTGCGAGGCAATGGAAGCAACTCATTTGTGACTGTTGGGCACAAGATGCCTCAATTAGGCCTACAAGCAACCAAGTACTTGCTAAGATGTCGACGCTGTATGATTCTGCTGGTGACGAAAGCTACAAATCTTTAAAACGATGGCGTCAGGAAAACTCCGACGTGTCATTTATTTCGCTGTCTACTCACCAAGGAATGGCCGTTGAAACTGCAGATGAGGTAGTTGGGTCGTTTGTTTCAGAGAACAAGGTTCCTGACCCGGAATTACAGCATGATCTTTCTCTGAACGTGCGCGCAAATGATGGAAGTAATGCATGCGTGTATCTTTGCACAAAAATTGTTGATGACCTTTTAAAGCTGTCCAATGACAGCTTTAATGACACAGCCCCCGTTATAAAGGAAGTCTCGGAGAGAGTAATAACGTCTCTCCCTAAACTTATTAACCCTGCAAGGTCGGTAGGGAAGTTTGCTGACGTGCAGGATGCGCTACGCCTAATGCAAAGTGAACGTATTATTACAACTGACTACGATTTGGAAGAACTGTTGAAGCAACAGACATCAACCAACCTGAAAGAAAAAGAGGCCTACTTGAAGTCAGCCTTTTTCTCTTTAGCGAAGTCTGTAAATGAAGAAGGAAAAGCATTTGCCATTTACACTTGCTTTCCGCTTTCGTTCCTGACTGGTGTGTACAGAAATGGATTCATTATTGTCGATACTCACAAAGTGTCCAAAGAGGTTGGTGGCGACCAGACAGGATTATTGGCATTTTTTAATTATAACGGTAAAAGCAAAGAGGGTGTAATTGACAGCTTAGTGGAGTGGATTTCTCTGAGAATGAAAGGATCCATTCAAGATTATTCTACGCAGCCTCATTCCTTGCTTCAGTTGAAAAAGAAAGAAAATTTAACAGCTATTGAAGAAGATGACGATCTACTCAATGAGGAAATGAGTGATGAAGAACTTTTGAACGCGAGTATTGAATTAGAAAAAAAGGAAAAGTCTTTTAATTCAGATGATGTTGAGGAAATGGAGCTGTCTGACCAGCCGCCAGAGGTGAAAGCTGAATTCGAATCGAATCTTAGTAGTGCTCAAAAAGACGAAACTGGGCCATGGGTCTTACCCTGTATGTTACCGCCACCCACAAATGCAACTGAGATAAACTGGAGGGGACATCTCACTCGTTTTGGACTAAATACTTTCAAACCTTTCCAGCTGAATGCAGTAAATACAGTGGAGAGTAAAATGGATGCAGTAGTAATACAACCTACTGGTAGTGGGAAAAGCCTTTGCTATCAGTTGCCAGCCGTGTTTGATTTAAATAGCATCACGGTGGTTGTCTGTCCAACTGTGTCACTGATAAATTCGCAGCTGCAAGACCTCCAAAGCAAAGGAATCGATGCCGCTTCCGTCGGTCCTTCATCCGGAGGTTCTAAGCTTCAAAGCGTGGATGTAAATAGTGAAGCAGAAATCCCTTCTTTGCTATTCACGACACCTGAATATTTCGTCACTAAACTGAAGCAAGAGTTACTGAAAATGCAAGAGAGGCTTAAGCTTATCGTTTTAGACGAAGTTCACAAATTGTTTGATAGAACAGCCAAATTTAGGGAGTCCTACGATTCAATAAAGTCGCTTAAAGATGACTTTCCCGACACTCCAATTATGACATTAACTGCGACGCTCAACGACCATCACTTGCGTACGCTGTGTTCCGAACACCTTCGTAAACCTGTACTAATAAGAAGCAGTGTGAATAAGAAAAACATTAAATTAAACATTGGCAAATACGTCTTTAAAAACAAGAAGACTATTCCCGACCCCTGGGAGTCAGTGGCCAGACAGATCGCTTCTGCAGTTAACGAAGAATATGCAATAGTGTACATGGACTTTAAAAAAGATGTCGAAGTAACGGTGAAAAGTTTAAAAGAGGCCGGAATTCAGGACGTTAAGGCGTACCACGGAAGTCTGCCACATCAGCAAAAAGCTGAAATCGACAGAGAATTCAGAGACAAAGAGTTTCAGATTCTTGTGGCAACAGAGGCGTATGAAGTTGGAACTCACAGTCCTCACGTCAATATAGTGTTTCGCATCGGCTGCATGAGAAACGTAGCTGTTTTGGTGCAGGAATTTGGCAGAGCCGGAAGAAATAACGACGCCTCTGATGGGTTTCTCTTATTAAATGAAAACAAGGATGATCAGCGACTAATATTTTGGACAACATCTAGCTCCAGCGAGGAGTTCAAGCTCCAGAAAAATGACTACGAGGCTGCTTGGAAGTGGATTTATGGCGTTCAGTGTGGTCTTTGTTTACGACAATCCTTACTAAAAAATTTTGAAGAAGTTGACGTATTAGAACAACCCAGCCCTGGAGAGTGCTGTTCTAGCTGCGACATCTTAGGCGAAAGAAACTTTGACATTAAAGATACGGCTGTACTCTTACTTAAGGCGATAAAAGAAATGAATGAGATCGGTAGCATTAAGGGGGTTTCTGAGGACAAGCTTATTTCATGGTTAAGAGGAGCCAAAAGAGACTGGTTGTCTGGAGAGGATATACAGAAAAACATTGATCGATCCGAGACCTATGGCGAGGGACTTTTTAAAGACAAAGCATGCTTAAGTAAAGATTGGTGGTCCTCACATCTTCGTCAACTGGCACATTTAGATTTTGTTAATATCAATTTTAAAATCATTCGAAATTCTTTCTTCGCAAAAACATCAAGGACATATCTTATTTCCTCACTTGGTCAGCAGTTTCTTGACAATCCACGCAGCATATATATCCTGCCTCCCTTATGTCAGGACCATCAAAAAGGCTGCGAGCGTAGAGAAAGTAAACAACGAGATAATAACAGGGCCACCAAGCACCATCTTCCAAAAGTGAGACAATTAGTGAAATCCAAGTCTAGTTGGTTCGTAATTAATAAAAAGGAGGACTACGAATATCCTGGATTTTCATCGGAAAATATTGGCGGGAAAATTGGTTATTGTGAAAACATTCTGAATTCTCAATCTTTTGGATCTAGTAAAAGACCACACTAGATGTGGAATGACTGTCAATTAACAAGACGCAATACATCAACGCAAACCATTGAGATGTCTGTCGAAGGGAAAGTCGTCAAATTATGTGTTAGAAGAGCTTTATGTGAAGGAGTTAAGAGGTGTTCTGTTGCTAACTGTTCTTATATCGTTTCGAACCGACAGCGCTTAAACAAATGCGCGGAGCATGGAGGAAGTCACAGACTGACTGCAAGTGGCCCATGTCCTGCACAGATGGTGTATATATGGCCTGAGAAAGATGACGGACAGAGATGGATAGGATGCATTCCGTGTGAAATGCACAATCACGACCAGCCAGCCCCGCATCTCATTTCGCAGGCCGTGAAAAGCGAAATTCATAAAGCTGTGAAGAAAGATTGCACCCTTACTACGAAAGAACTACAAAAGGGTCAGGGTGTAGGATTTATACCTGCAGAAAAGTCGCCGGCTGCGGCAAATGCGAACAGAATAAGACGCGAGCGGCAGATGGCTTTAGTTAGTCATGGTAAAGGTCATCCCGAACTGGAACCAATCATTCAAATTCTTGAATTCGAAAAGTTTAGGAAAGATCAAGAAATGAATCAAGATCCTGAAGACCACGAATTAACCACAAAGGTGAACGAAAAAATGGGAAAGTACGTTATGGAAGGAAAAGAATATTTACTATCTCCAGGAAGAAATTTCGCCTTCTTTGTTGCTCCGTATCAAGCTTCTCTGTCAGTAAAAGATGCCCAGGACTTGTTTGTTGACATAACGTACACCGGGAACACATCTTTTCCTTACCTTCTAAACATGGTAGCGTTTAATGATCTAACGCTCACATTTAATGCAGTTGCTAGAGTCCTGTGCAGCAGGCAAGATGGAGAGGCTTATGCAACAGCAATAGCAGAAGTTTTCAACCACGTGAGCAAGCTTCACCCTGCCTTCGGACAAGGAAAAAATCTGCGACAAATTATGGTAGATTTTGACGAAGCCGAGTATAATGGCTTTCAAGAAGTGATTGGGAAGTCCTTAGCAGAAACAATAATCAGAGGTTGCAGCGTACATTGGAAGACATCTGTTAATCGTGTCAGTAAAATAATCACGCGAACCCAAGATGAATTAGACGTATTTAAAACATTAGCTTATAAGATTCCTACGTTGGAAAACCAAACTGATGTTATTTCGATTTTTAACGTTATTTGCGGTCAAGAACCACCTTCGCGGGTTATACACCTTTTACCTAGACATCTTAGCGAAATTGCTCAAACATTAGATACAGGTCATTGGAAAAAGGCAGAACATTGGGCGATATGGTGGCAGCGAGAAAGAATACTAAGGATGCTTTGCAAGGCATTTACTTTAAGGGACACCGAAGATTGGGATTCATCCCCTAACACGAACAATCCTGCCGAATCGTTGAATAGGCAATCAATTCCTGAGGGTAGCAATAATATAGCAGTCCTCCTGAAAAACATCTACCTGGAAGACAGGTTGCACGCTGTAAAAATAGTGGCCAAAGAAAAGAATATCAACATTGACTACGGATCAAGAAGTCAGCAAGCCAATCCCAACAAGCGGAAACGAAAACGTTCAAGTCTTGTCAAAGTCGATGAAAGAAGAGCCATACTAGACTTAACCCCCCCTGACAAGCGCCGCTGTGTTCTCAATAGTAAACGGAGCAACAGACGAAAAACAGGTCAAGCTTTGATAGGTAGTCAAATAGAAGTGGAGTACCAAGAAGAAAATAATGGGAAGATGATCAATATTGGCTGGTTTAGAGGAACCATCATTGCGTATAACAAGACTACTGGATATCTTGTGAAGTTTGAACCCCTTGAGAATGGAATTGAAGAAGAGGACTGGATCCCAACCATAAATAGCCCGGATGTGAGATTTCCGCAGTAATGGCATTTATTCCGATCCTCCCAGAAGCGTCGAGACCGCTCGAGAAATAATTTGACTCTTTTACAACAATGGAACGATCTAAGAATGCCGGAGTCTTATAGTTGCAGACTTGGTCCTGAAAAAGAGGAAAGATGAAAGCACGCAAGAAAATGGACTCGACAGTTATCTCCTCATCCTATAGCAACCAAGTTCACTAGGAACTACTTTATTGACTTATGGAAAAGTCTTGAGTGAATGCGGCCTCCCATGATCACTAATTGTTAAATCGTACGCTAATACTCTTGTCTACAAATATCAAAACAGTTATCTCCACGCTTCTAGCGAAACAAATAAACGTTTGAAACAAACGTTTTAGTTTTTAAGCAACAAAAGTTACCATGACAATTTTAATTAACAGCTCAACGGTAAATCAAGAACGCAAAAATTGAAACACACAGACTTGAAAAGAACACCAGACACGTAAAGGAAACTATTTAGTCGGACAAACTTAGGATTTGCATCCGTCCTCATCATGTAGAAAGGAGAGGGAGATGTAAACAAATCCTTATTCGCTTTCTAAGTTGTCATGAATATTGGCTTTCAACGACACTTTTTCCACCAACGACAAACGCTGTAGTTAAGGTTACATAAATTGTAGCCGTCAGTTAAGTAAATAGTCAAGAAACCGTTTAAGACACGTGCTTTTCATACGATTATTTTTGTCATAAGCGATTGAAAAATAACAAGAGTATAATTGAGAGTTGAATGTGTAAAGCTGAAAATAATCAAGCATTGTTATTTTTAACGTACTCTTTTATTGTCATTATTTGTATGAAATTTACACTGATGTGTATTTTGTTCACAGAAAGCCGTCCTCCTTGTTTAGCTGTTCTCATGGGCGTTTTGTCTCGGGTGGATTCATTTGGAGTACACCAGTCTAGTAAATCGAAGTGGGCGGTTTGTGCGCCAAGTGAATCTACCCTTCTGTTTCCGCCGGTGCCTCGGGTTGAATTTAAACTTGAACTTGACTTACGCGTAATAGAATATATTAATCGGTTTCGTCAAATAATCAGATTAGTTTTATGAAAGACGAACTTTCAACTACAGAAAGATTGGCGGTCTCTAATCCAAATGAAAATAACAGGAGCCCCAACAATCTCCTGAGATTGAGGCTGTCCCGAGCATGTTTTGTACCAGTAATATCTACCAGGTTTAATGATTAGAACTACTTAATAAAGTACTTATGATCCGTATGATTGGATGTAAAAGATTAAATCTTAATCATTGATCACGCTGTTTCAATAAATTACATTTTAATGGGTATTGAGTTGCTAGTTTTACTTGTCCCACTCCTTCTTCCATAATATGTAAAAGTCGATCCATACAATTTTAAACACAACTTTTCTCGCGAGTAGTATACATTTAAGGTAAACATCTCCTTCAAATAAAATTTGATAACATTGCTGAAGTTTAGGCCTCAACCACAGATGACAATAAAATACAATTTTAGAGTTATCCCGGGGTCGGGCATTTGCACACTTATTTCAGCTCCCCCCCCCACCGTGAGGTCTTTGTATGAATCCCCGGCCACCAGCCTCTACCGTAGGGCAATTGCAGTGGTTCTGAAAAAAAAAAACAAACAAACAAACGCCCCACAAATTCCCGGGGAGGAGGGATAATTTCCATGTCATTCCATGATTCGGCCTCGCATTTCTTTCCAAATTGAAACTTTTCTTTCCTGGCAAAAGCCCCCCTTCTCTACCACCCTTACTAAAAAACAAATAGACCACACAACAAAAGTCGTTTGCCCATGGCCTTCTCCTGGTTTTATTGGCTTCTGACGTTCTTTATCCCTTGATCTTCCCTCACAGCCATTTAGAATGAAGAGACAAAAAAACAGCTGTGAGCGACAGTAACGTCCTAGGATAAACACCCCATTTTGGCCGAATCAATTAACGGCTGAAAGAAGCAACTTCGGAGCAGTTCTTTTAATGTTGGCTCCGGTGAGAAGGGAGGGGCAAATTTCGTCGTTCTCTTTTTGAGGCCGTTTAGAATTAAATGTCAAATTACTGAACCTCCCCAGCCTCTCCCCCGCGCGGTCCCTATAGTTCGTACATAATAAGCCATTATTTAATGGCTAAGTTGAACCTCCTAAAGAATATGGCTAAGTTTGACCTCCTTTATGTATATATGTTGAAAATATTAAGTTTGACCTCCCTCAGGTATATATTGGAATTATTTAGCCGTGGATTAACGGCTAAGTTAAACCTCTATAAACACAAAGGAATTATTTAGCCGTTAATTAACGGCTAAGTTTAACTTCCTACACATATATAAAATGACATGTTTAGCCGTTAATAAACGGCTAAGTTTAACCTTCTTCCATATATATGGGAAATGTTTAGCCGTTAATTAATGGCTAAGTTTAACCATCTTTTTATATATAGGAAATGTTTAGCCGTTAATTAATGGCTAAGTTTAACCTTCTTTCTGATATAGGGGAAATGTTTAGCCGTTAATTAATGGCTAAGTTTAACCTTCTTTCTTATATATGGGAAATGTTTAGCCGTTAATTAATGGCTAAGTTTAACCTTCTTTTCATTTATATAGGAAATGTTTAGCCGTTAATTAATGGCTAAGTTTAACCTTCTCTCTTATATATGGCAAATATTTAGCCGTTAATTAATGGCTAAGTGTAACCATATTTTTATATATGGGAAATGTTTAGCCGTTAATTAATGGCTAAGTTTAACCTTCTTCCTTATATATGGGAAATGTTTAGCCGTTAATTAATGGCTAAGTTTAACCTTCTTTCTTATATATGGGAAATATTTAGCCGTTAATTAATGGCTAAGTTTAACCTTCTTTTCATATATATGGGAAATGTTTAGCCGTTAATTAATGGCTAAGTTTAACCTTCTTTCTATATATGGGAAATGTTTAGCCGTTAATTAATGGCTAAGTTTAACCATCTTTTAATATATGGGAAATGTTTAGCCGTTAATTAATGGCTAAGTTTAACCTTCTTTCTTACATATGGGAAATATTTAGCCGTTAATTAATGGCTAAGTTTAACCTTCTTTTCATATATACGGGAAATGTTTAGCCGTTAATTAATGGCTAAGTTTAACCTTCTTTCTATATATGGGAAATGTTTAGCCGTTAATTAATGGCTAAGTTTAACCTTCTTTTCATATATATGGGAAATGTTTAGCCGTTAATTAATGGCTAAGTTTAACCTTCTTTCCCCTATATGGGAAATATTTAGCCGTTAATTAATGGCTAAGTTTAACCTTCTTTTAATATATATAGGAAATGTTTAGCCGTTAATTCATGGCTAAATTTTTCCTACGCTATACATATATACAAGGAATATTTAGCCGTTAAATAACGGCTAAATTTCTCTTTTGTATAAATAGTTGATGGAAATTTTTAGTTACAAATATTTAATGAAAATTTAGCCGTTAATGAATGGCTAAATTTTTCTTTAATAAAGAGTAAAAATTTAGCCGTTAATTAATGGCTAAATAATTTCTATAAGAAGGACAATATTTAGCCGTTAATTAATGGCTAAATTCTCGGTTTGTAAAATATACAAAGTGACTTTCTGGCTAAATTTTTCTTATAACTACAGTGTGAATTTATTGCAAATTTTGCATTAATTAATGGCTAAATTCTCGGTTTGTAGAATATACAAAGTGACTTTCTGGCTAAATTTTTCTTATAACTACAGTGTGAATTTATTGCAAATTTTGCATTTATATATACACCCGTGACAAAATTTGACCCCGTATTCCTGATAAAAAGAGGTTGACTTCTTAAAAGTTTTCACCCAATTGTGTTTATACGAGAGAAAAGCTGCCCTTAAGGCAAAAGAAGTAATTTTCGAAACGGTTGCGCCCCGGGGGGTACTCCCTTACAAGAGCCTAATGGGGATGTGCCGCTGGATGGGGTCGCATTTTCACGACTGGAGTGACTATAATGGGGTCGCATTTTCAATAGAGTTACTAGAATGGGGTCGCAAATTCTCGAATTTTGGGGGTAAGTAGGGAATCAAAATGGGAAGATTCTCAGTTAAAAAGATCAGAAAGTTGTTTATTAAAGGGACAGTATCCCGATTATGCGCACGCGCGAGCGTCATCTGTTTTTTCTTTAAAAGACAATAGAACTGTCATATTGACTCGACAAGATTTCCTTCCAGACCGCACCGCCGACAGAGATTTGTTGTTTATATTCTCAAGTAATATTTTAGACTTTCAAAGAAGTCTTTCGTCTTATATAAAAATTTGGCTCGCGGTTCGAAGACTTATCGCGATTTTATCGCTAGCTGGGCCTCCTCGCGACCCGAAAATCTCGTTCCGCTCGCTTTAAAAACATATTTTCTAATTTGAAACTCGTGTCAGAGGTCAGTTGTTCCAAGTCTAGTAATATCTGCCTGATTTGCTCGCGTTCTAGCCTCAAACGTTTGAAAGACATAAATAAAAATGCAATCTCAACGCTATGAATCATCAGAAAGGTTAGTCAAAATTATATTATGATTTCATGGCACTAGTTTTTCTAAACATGTAGCGCCTGTTTGTTTGATTTTGTCGGCCGTTAGGGAGATTCGTTTAAAAAAGTTTACTAACGCGTCGTTGCAAAACATTCTGTTGCAAGAAGCTCCCCTCCACAAGATCTCCTCAGTCACATCAATGTCTCAATGGTTTCTTTCTTACAGTCTTTATTGTTGCCGTTTCATTTCTGCGTATTCCTTTCACAATTATCTGAGCTTGTATGGAAGCTGGCAGAAGAAATAAGCCTTCAATCGGCATCAAAGTGCTTCCAATCTTTTGGTCCTCCGGCCAACGGCAATAAAAGTAACGCCAAAAAATCCAGATTTTGCCCAAATCGATATCATTGATCTGTAATCCTGAGAAGTTTTAGTGTCGTATTGAACCCGGTAAAGCGCGATGCAAACGGATTTTTCAAGGTTCTCTTACTCTCCTCGCATCTTTTGATTTCGCGACATCCTGTCCAAAAATCAAAGTTTGGTGCATGCGCAGTAACGGGATACTGTTCCTTTAAATTGAACAATAAGCTTGCATTGACCGCATTGCATTCCGTTCTTGAAACCACAACTTAAATATTAACCAGTTACTCAATAGCACAAAACCACGGGTCCAGAACAAAGTCCACCGAAACATCAGTGCTACGGCATTTACTTTTCTACTGGATTGTTATCGTCCATCGAAGATAATACAACGTGGATCTTCTTTTGTATTAGCGAGCGTTTGATCTCTTTTGCTTGGGACTTGTCTGCTTTGAATGTGACATTTACAGGAACATTTATACCACCTCCAATACGCCAGCGACCTTTGACATCATCATACGGCTCTCCGGTAACAACGCTATCAGGTAACAGGGGCACCCAACGACAATTTTCGGAAAATATCTGTTCGGAAGACGATTTGAGATCTAGAATTTTCGGAACAGTTGTTGCAAAATTTTTTGCTTGCCTGCCTCTCCTAGGATTTTCGAACATCTAAAAAATGGTCTAATTGCCTATTTTTAACGGATTTTTACCCTAAAAAGGTCACCTAGAATTTTCGGGAGCCTTTTTTCTGGCTGGAATTTTCGAAAAGGTAAGTTTTGATCCCTATAATTTTCGGATTACTAGACTTTCAACTAGGAAATCCGAACAGATGAAATTTATAGGGGATAAAAATATGCCTATATCTATCGTTTAAATACTAAAATACGTTTAACAATGTTATGTTAAAGTGGTTTTGAACTATGTTCTCGTTGGGTGCCCCTTAGGTAAGACATATCGAAGTATAATTAATCCCTAGTTTTATTGGTTATTACGCTAAAGAGGATCAAACTACCGCTTAAGATCATTTAAAACTTACCAAGAAATTTCAGATGTTAATGGCCAGAGCACTGAAACAACCTCTCTTTGAAGATGTCCAAGTTGACCTCGCTTGGAGTCAACAACCTTGAATGCACGCCCGTAATCCCCGATCTTCTTAACAGCAGTAAATATATCGCCTGTTTCTACTTTAAAGATACACTCTTGATACCCTTTGACGACACACCTAATCAAAACCTTGAAATCAATCTCGCTGGAATGAGACTGAGAATAATCTGCCATGGCCATTGTTATCGCCAGCTTACGGTGAGACAAAAATCTCACCGAGCGAGAATAACACGTGTTATCTTATTACCGATCTCTCCGAGGGTGTGTTGTTCTGTTTCGGTTTTGACAATTAAGGGCAGTTTAATTGCGTAAAATTCACGTAAAATATGCAGTTCTTTGTGCATGTGATCGGTCTATGTGCTTTCTATCTTCTGTTAGTGCCTTTGCTTTTATCCGTATTCAAAATTCTATCATAACGTTCCCGTTTGAAGAAGAATGTTTTTCTTTTCAACTATTTATGACGGTACGTTTGTAAATATTTACGGTTAGCAAACGTACCAGAATGCTTGTATTGTAGGTGAAAGTAAAGTATTCTTTATTCAGTTTAAAAATTGTGTCAATTCGTTTTTGGATGACCCGGCTTTTTAAAGGATTGGCAAGGTAGATGCATAAATAGAAAGTGACTAAGTTGGGATCGCAAAAATTACATTTTCCAAAAAGTGACTAAGATGGGGTCTATAATTGGCCAAAAAATAGACTAAAATGGGGTGGGGGCTCTGAGAGGCCAGCGGCACATACCCAGCAAACATTAACCCAAGTACCCCCCCCCCCGGGGGTTGCGCCTGCAAGCAAGATAAAGCCAAAATTTGGAACATTCTCACGCGTAGGCGGACATGATTGACTGATTGATAACGTTTTAATAACCTGCGCTAAACTACCTCGTAAGGTGGTTTAAGAAAACCTAACCTGGTGAAGAAAATCTATTGTTCTTGCTTGATTTGCATAACCCGGTTAAAACTCGGTTAAGAATGAAGACAACCCGCCCGCACTCACTGATATTTTAAACCAGTTAACTTTAATTAGTTAACTGGAAATAACTCGGTTAAGCCCCCGAGTGCGACCGCAGCCGACTGACTATCAACACGCAGGGTTGTCGGATTAGCACAAGGAAAGTCTTTAAAGAGCTTTAAAACACAGCATCCGCCAACACAAACTTGACTTGAATTAAGTAAAACCAAACAGCCTCTGCCAATAATTACAACAAACTCTCACTTGAACGGCCCCCGCCAACTTTGAACTGGAAAATCGACCTTCGTCACACTTGACTAAACACAGCACTCCAGCTCGTGGGAAAAACTTAGTTCGTCAAAACAACTCGCTTGGAATTTGTATACCATTTCACATAAGGTTCAGCTTTCCAACATATTTTATGATTATGGAAGAAAGAACTGATAAAGGCTGCGGCAAACTCTACTTGTTTCCTTGATTTATTCTGCTTTGTTCATGACCGCAGGAAAATTCACGATTTTCAGCTCTTTCCCGTAATCACACACAACTGACTTGTTATCACACACATGCACATGACGCACGAACACAGAGATGTCGTCATCTCCCAATAAAACGGTCTTTACACGCCTTCCGCTAAGGACGTCCCAGACAGATATGTGTCCCTAAATGGAAGAACAATAAAAGTAAAAAGAAAACAGTGTAAACAAGGTCGAGAGAAGCGACGTAGTAGCATTAGCAGTATGATCAGTTCAGAGCCCACGTGTACTGTGAACAATTAAATAGAAAACAGTCGGTCTATGTTAACTCCACTCTATTTGGAGTTCACAGTATCTGCCTCACTCGCAGATCCCAACAACATAGACTAATCTTCTTAACACTAACGACATTTGTTGGGTCATTTTTAAAATCCCTCAGAGGAAACCCTTTTAGTATTTTCCAACTGAAAGAGATTTGTCCCAGATCCCAGCTGACCTAGGGCGCGATCCATTCAACCAAACTTTCCGGAAATTTCGGTCCAAAACTCAATGGATCGGTTCGGTCCAACCGGAAAAGTTTCGAAAAAACGGGTCCACCTTTTGAGGTGGTCCTCTTTTCCCGGTCGGACCGGTTGGAATTTTGGTTGAATGGATCGCGCCCCTAGTCTCCCATACAGCCGTTATTTGTCTCGTAACGCAACGCTACTACCTCCGAAACGGCCCTACAGCTGACCCTGTTTCTTTTTTCTGAAAGAAATACCAAGGCAGAGGGTACTTTCTGGAAGAAGCGTAATGATCCAATTTCCTAATAAGCAGCGGTGGGTTAACTGAATCAGTGCAAGAAGTATTGATATTTCGAAACGCTTTTGCCAAGTTTCGGAACCATGTACTACGTAAACTGCCTCTCAGTAATTTCTCAAACAGCTTGTCAAAAAATGTAAGACTAATCAGCGGGCAATTCTTTACTTCCTATGCGCTGAGCTAACTGTGACATAGCTGCCGGTACTGCCTGCGACACCGTTCCTATGTGAGAACAGAAGTCGTCGGCAAAAGAGGCCATGTCAGTCTTTGCCGCCGGCATGCCTTTGAAATCGACTCGAGTTGGACTTCGCAGGCATGCCGGCCGTAAAGACTTGCGATGTTTCTTGTTGATGGCGGCGTTATGTCCTCATTTGCCGGCAGCTATGTCGTGCATATGAGAACCAGGCTTTACACTGATATTCATCCGTCTTTCTTCTACTCCAATAACCAATTCCCTCTCTCAAAACTAATGTTGAATATCCCAGTTAGTAATAATGTGCATTCATAAGCTTTGGGTTAGAAATCTAGCGGATTTTTGAATGAGCAGTGACCGTCGGAATATCACTAGAAATAATGAAAAGCTACTCAATTTTGATTGAACCTACTGCAAGCTGTCAGTTTGAGATTTTTAAACTGTAACTACATTGAGGTCCTCGGGAGTTTCTATCAGTAATCAAAATTAGACGGCAGAGGACACGTATTGCTGGTTTTCAGTGTCACGCCATTCAAAATAGATCGAAATAAAAATCAAAAACGTTCAATAGACAAAGTCCAGAATCTGGGAAATGAAAGGAGGTACATATACAAAGACCCTCGCTAAGATTCGGCTCAGAGGAATATTTCGTATACGAGATATCCGAAGAAATGTTTTACCCAAACTTATATGTATGGAGACACCATGCTGGTGCTCACCTGGATGAACTCCAACATGGCGGACGGAAACCAACAGAAACATCTGTTACCGAGTTTTGCTACAAAAGCGTGAATTTATTCTTCGAGAAAATCACAAACATTAAAGTAATACTTTTTCTAATACATGAACTGTTTAGATAGCAAAATTTCCTCATAGAAGTCATTTTTTAACCTACATGACAGCTCTCTTGGCCGTCATGTAAATGCCGCGTCACGCAAAAGCTTAGAAATTCAAGCGTACTCTATCACAAAACCAAGAACTTCTTTTGAAGCTAAAATTTGTGTGAAAATTAGTTTTCAGCTGCTCTAATGCATCGTGAAAGTAAAATCTCGGTACGATCGATAGTTTTTTAGTTTGAATTTTAGTGACGTCATGTGAAAACCAACAAATAGCAAATTACACTGCCACTGATATTAGTATTATGAAGGAAATAAATGGAGATGTAAAGAATTGACCATAAGAAGACACAGAAAAAAATCTGAGCCCCAGATGGGATTCGAACCCACGACCCTCCGTGTTCTAGATCGGATGCTCTAACCTCTGAGCTACTAAGGACTCGTTGGCGAGCAGGGTCATTTTCATGTGTTGCTTGTGATGGACTGCGTGACTGCGTCATGCGGTTCGCAAGTCCAACCCACAAAAATGACCCTTGCTCGCCAACGAGTCTTCAGTAGTTCAGAGGGTAGAGCATCCGATCTAGAAAACGGAGGGTCGTGGGTTCGAATCCCATCTGGGGCTCAGATTTTTTTGGTGTCCTCTTATGGTCTATTCTTTACATCTCCCTTTATTTCCTTTATAAATTACACTGACGTGCTTTAAAAATATTCTACAAGTACTCGACTGTCCATCACATTTTCAATATACAATCACCTCACTTTAGCGAATGGTGCATAATCCATAATAGAAGAACTAGTACCCTACAGACTTACCTGTCCACCCGTTATAAAAAGTGTCTTGGACAACATAGCTACGTTGGAGCAGAGATCTGGAAACTAAAAGAGTGAGGCAAAGTGAACCTTTAAATAACAAACATCCCAATTGGTCTTCTAGGCTCTGTAATAAACGTCACTGCAAACAAAAACTATACCGGCAAAACTTAATGTGAAGGAACAGTTATCTCTTATAAATCACGTTACACGTCACACGTCACACGTACATCTCAGTAAAAGGAAAGAAAAATTAGCCATGTGTTAAGACGCTTCACAAGACAAACCCAGCCAAGAGTTTTAAAACGACACTCGAATTATGTGTTTAGTCATATTATGAGACTGTTAGTGCTGAAATAGTACTGTCAAAATTTTTACACTAACACTAATTCAGACATTATTCGAATTATGTGTTTAGTCATATTATGAGACTGTCAGTGCCGAAATAGTACTGTCAAAATTTTTACACTAACACTAATTCAGACAGTGGGAACTTCCACCAAATTAAGTTCAAAATAACCGCTCAAAAGGTTAAAGAAGGTAAAAATAACACAGCAAATAAAAAAAACTCGCACGGATGAATTAACTGAAAGATTGCTATTCCGGTCTTCAGAAACTAGCTTAACGTTTGAAATAATACTTGGGAGACAGTATTTGTTTGACACGAAGTTATGGTTTTGTATTTATAAGTAATGTCTCAAGGGAATAAGGGGGCGTAATTTGCATATAAAAATAAGAACTATTCAGCGCTGAGCTATAGAAAGATGGCTAAATGATCATTTAAGCGATTTTTCGGAGAAAAGGAGTGAACGGAAGAAAAGTAGTATACGTTAAATAATGTAACCTTCCGCATATACCACCATAGATAATTACTGCGGCCGGGTAATGGAGTTATATATACTACAATTGTTCAGTGCATAAGAATGAAGATTTCCAACAGCCGTTGTCAAGGTCAACGAAGTGGTCCAGGTAAGATAGCAGCATCAGGCACATTTTTTGGAAGAAAGGATCGGAAACGGTCGATACGGAGTCAGAAAACCTTTCAAATGTCACCTGGTGGAGAAGAACTGTTCCCTTATCAATTGTCAATGAAATGAATATGGCAAAAAAGTTACCAAAAAAATATTAACTTTTACAATTCCCGTTGTAATACGTTGATTACTGGATGAGGCTATTCGAATAAAAACAAACAAAAACAGATACAACAAACACGCACAAAAAAAACAAAACAAAACAAAGACCAGAAAAAAAAATGACAACGTAGGATCCACACCACACAAAAAATTTGACCACAGAGTCTGATAGCCGAATACCCACAGAGGGGGTCTAACTCAAAGGAATCTAACGTGAATTTAAGGTGCGGTTACACACACCCCGGTAAAAGGCACTTCCATGGTAAAAAAAAGCCGCGGTAAAATTCAACGCGGGTGTAGTTACCGTGGTAACACGTGGTTACGTGTAAATTAATTCCCAAGGTAATTTATAGCCAATTTTACAACTTCATTTGTGCTATTGATCGCCGCCGATCATGATAGTATTCAGCGCCGTAGCTAGTATGAGGCCAACCGAGGCACTAACATAACATAACATAATCTTTATTTAACGTGGGAGAAACACTTAGCTAATGCTATTTTGCAGGTTTTCCACAAATCAATATTAAGAAAGAAAGAAAGAAAATATGTACATAGAAGTGTAAAAATATAAAATATCTGGCATCTAAAATTACAAAATTAGATAACTAAAATTGAATGTTCCTCACTTGTTTGTTAAATTCTAGTCCTCCAGCTCTTAATCGCAATTCGTTTGGAATACTGTTCCATTGTTTTGCGGCGAAAAATCTGAAGGAGTTTAATCCATACTTTGTAGAACAGGAGGGCATTTTGCATGCGCATGCGTGAATCCGCTGAACAACAATAGCGTGGACGCATCAAATCTAATGGCGGGAAATCGAAAACTCGCGCGTAAAGTTGCAGGCCTTTTAAAAGCCATTTCGTTGGTACTTTGAATACCGTACTTTCCTACAATCGGACGTTTTCTACGCAGGTTTTCACTTTTAGATTTTTCAGCAG